CCATCCATCCATCCATCCATCCATCCATCCATCCATCCATCTCCTCCCTCCCTCCCCAAACCAAGTAAAAGGCATTCCAGGGAAAGAATATGCCTCCTGTCGGGGAGTAAATGCCACCAGGGTGGTTCCCCTCCAAAAGATATCAACGTGACACTGGGCCACTGTATGCCAAGACAAGCCCCGCTTCAGAGAGCCGGAAAGCCTGCAGGGGTCAAGAGCTCAACGCCAAAGCCTCCAACTGGCCATGCTGAGCCCAGAGGGGCTGCACACACCCCCCCCCCCCCCCACTCTCTGGGAGAGATGCTTGCCTCCTGAGCTCACCGCCTTCCCAGCAGCACAGACAGAAGGCAGGAAGTTGAGGTCAACCCGAATCTTACGACAAAGAGAGTCGAGCCCAGGCCACTTTTCCCAACTGGGCCAGGCTGCTGATCCCTTTTCAACTTCTGAGAAAGCCACGCTGGCTTTGCAAACTCAGCCCCCTCTTACTCAGGGAAGAGGAGCAGGAGGAGAGCTCTCTTCCTGGCGATGGGCAAGATGGGCTCTTCTTCGGGATCAGAGCCAGCCTGTCTCGGGAGGCTGTGCCAAGAAAAGGGGCTTTGGGGTGGGGCTTCCTGGAGAATGCGGGGCCTCAAGTTTCTCTGGCCAGAGCCCCCAGATTCTGGAGAAAGCAAAGCCTCTCTGCCACCTAACTGGACGAGCCAGGGTGGTCCCCAAACCTCTCTGGCCGCTCAGGTACTCACAACTGATTGAACATCCTCTTCATTTCATCGGTGATGTTCAGAGAGCAGCTGACTTCCTCCTCCGAGAAGCGGGCATTGTCTGTGTCCTGCTCGGGCACGTCTTCTTCTGACGTGAGCCTGCGCTCTTTCTTCTTGGAGGCCACCTTAAGTGGAGAGAAGGGCCATCACTGGCAGCCTCGCCCGAGCTGCTGCACCACGGCCGCGAGAGGAGCAGGAAAAGACAGAGAAGCACTCGGGAGGGGAGAAAGCTCCCGAGCGTCACGCTCCCTTCCCCGGGACTGGCGCACACAAGCCACACAAGAGTTGTTAAGTCACAGGCTGCAGGGAAGCCGAGGGGCGGCGCGCAGCAGAAGCAAGCCACGGGCCTTGGCGACTCAGCCAGCCATGCAGAGGCTCAAAGGAGGACGCTTAAGCAGCTGGGGGGGCTCGGGGCGAAAAGCTGCAGAGTAGCAAGCACCTCGCAGGAATCGTCTTCTTGGCCTCCACTGAACGTGGTGGTGGCGGCGGCAGGGCCTCTCCCTGGGAGAAGCCCAACCCACGGCCGTGTCCGTCAGCCGGCAGAGTTAAATCAGGCCCCGTTGGCCGGGAAAGGGGGCTATGCAGAATGGAAATCAGAGGAAAGAGACTGGAAGTGCCAAACGGTTAGTGTCAGACCCCCCCTCACCCAGAGGATGAAAAGTCGGCTCATTCGCGACCGTCAGACATCGAGCGTCGTTCAAGTGAGCAGGCCCGAGGGTGGCCAGACTCGAGCAGCTGCTGTGATTCTGGGGTTGCCTCCTGCTCCTGACAGCCTTGGGGTGCAAGAATTCCCCACCTCGAACATCAGGGGCAATCAGGGTCCCTGGGGGGACCCAGCCCGCAGCTTCCTCCCGGAACAGCCTCGGAGCCAACGGGTGGCTCGGGCAGCCACCCACCGGCTCACGGGCTCTCCCTGAAGACGGCTCGAGGCTTGGCTTAATCTAACTTCCGCACCTAGCCAGAGGTCTGGTGGTTAGTTTCTGAGTACAGCCTCCTGACAGCTATGCTACTCCTCCTAGGCGTCTGCGGGTGTCTTCTGAACCCTGCCGTGAAGAGGGGAGGGGGTCAGCCTCTTCGTGGGGAAGACGGCCCCCCCCCTCAGCCGGACTGTGACTCCTGCTTCCTCTCCCTAACACAGCTATGTCCTCCGCCGGACGGGACGAGCCTAATCACCTGGAATATCTTGGAAACGTCTTCCGAGTTGCGCTGCTGTGCCACATCGCACAGCTTGGCTGTGATATCGATTCGCCGGCAGATGTCCATGTCTACTTTCATGGCTTTCTCTTGGATCTTTGAGTCCAGGTCTGTCATAGGCTGCGGGAAGGACAGCAGGGGGATTACCTTCCATGCATACGGTTCAGAAGAGCAGAGGAGATCCTCGGAAGGGTCTCCTGCAACAGAACCCGCCAGCCTTCGCACAAACGCCACCTCTTCTCCAGGCGTTACAAATAGTCCACCGGGAGCAGCGTGGAGAGAAGGGGCGCAAGAAACTTTCACCTCGAAGGCTCTCAGCCCTAGCTGCTCAGGGGGATCTGCTGTGGGCTTGCCCAGGAAAAAACCTCTACGGGGGATCCGGGGACTATTTTAAAGAGAAAGTCAACCCAAGAAACTCGCCAGTCCGCTTTGAGAGAAAAACAGCTTCCTCTTCCCTATGGGCCACCCGCACGAGAGGAAGAAACCTGGCCCATTACGTTCCTTTGGGCAGGAATGGGGGTTAAACTTGTAGGCGACGACAGCCCGGCCCTCGTTCGATCTGCTTTCGCTTCCTAACGGGGTTCGGGGTCCACACCAAGTGGATGAACAGAAGCGGCTTTGCCAAATGTTCTGTCTTTCTGCCAAGATGACCCTCAAACACCCCAAAGGCTCTTCTCTTCAGCTAAGATGAAGGATTAAGAGTCTTGGAGTCAAGGCCAACGAACGAGGGGGGGAAAGCCCACCGCAGCAAGGTCCAACTCCGTCTGCCGCAGGTAAACAAGGAAACCTGACATTCTGTCTAGGGCCAGCAGGTCATGCTTTCGATATCCGGCCTGCAGTACTTTGAAAAAAGTTTCCACAAAGACCGCCTGAAGATGGACTGAGCAACTCGGGCTTTCGAAAACAGAACCAACACTTGAAACCATGCCAGATAGCTTTCTAAGCCTGCGCTCTGGCTTCCTTTCAAGCACAGCTAGGAAAAAACTAGACAGGTTTCACAATCCCAAAACATGGCTCCTCTAATGCACGTTAAGCAACCCTTGTTCACAAGCTTTCCCGGCTTTGTGCAGCTAATTGAGTGTGGCTGTGGACACCACACCTCAGCGAGGCCTTCCCTTCTCGCAGAACGGCACAAGCGGAGGCTGCCTTGCCGGAGGGGTCAGAAAAGCGCTGCGTGCCCCAATGGTGGGGGGGACACGTGCCTGGCCTCTCCATGGCTACCTCAACACGCTGGTTTTCAGGGGCAGAAAGTGGGACAAGATGCTTTGGTCATGGACTTCTCCCCTGAAAACCGAACTGAATTCTAAACGCGGCCAGGGGAACGGGAGCACCGGAGGGTTGAACGAGGCGAGACCGCATGCCAGAAGGAAACCCAAACTCGATGTGTTCGGAACCCCTGAATAAGAGGGGGGGCCCTCTTCCTTCCTGCACCTGGGCTCCAGCCTCTTCCCGACCCCTGTCCCCAAAGTGGCACCCCAAGAACCCAGGAGGTCGTCTGAGCCAGCGCAGGGGACGGGAGTGCGTCAGCCTTGTGGGAGGGACACAATCTGCTCTGGAAACGCCATGCGGGGCGGGGGGGCTCTTTCAGAGGCTGCCCCTCGGGCCCGGCACGGCCAGCCGCCGGGGAGACGTCGGGGTTGTGAGGAGAGCAGCAAGTTAATGCATCGGCACCAACCGGATGGGAAGCAGGGCGAGGGCGAGCGGGCTGGTCCGATGCATTGGGTCATACCAGGCAGGCAATCTACTGACTACAAGCAGCCCTCAGCGATCTCGTCCCTCTCTGTCCTTTGGCGGCGTCACAAGAACGACCGCTGGGCTTCGGGGAGGCAGCGCAGCCCGGCCCGCCACGACCGCCTCGGGCACTTACGTCACTCATCAGACCCTTGAAGACCACCAGTTCGGCCTTGAGCCTCTCGATCTTCTCGTTTAACTCCTCCTGGAGAGCCTCGGCTTCTTGGGCTTCCTAAAGGGAGGAGGGAGGAGAGACCCCTTGGATGCAAACTCAGGAATCAGACCCAAAGCATTATGATTAGGACTAACCTTGATCCCGCAGAGCCCACAGGCGCACAAAGCAGAGCACGAGCCTCTCTCTAATCTACCACCTGTTCCCAACCTGGTTACACCTTGCGGAGGGGCTACAACCCACGGATTTCTTTCTTGTTTTTAGGAGGGCGGCCACACCTTTCCACCTGTCGCTGCTGGCAAAACGGCCCTGCTTTCAATCTGCAGTGAGTCCGCCCAGGTTTACCAAGCTCTCTCTGCGATGCCCGACTGCAGACAGGAGGGACAAGCCCAACTCGGGCAGCAACGACGCCTATTTTTCCACCCAACCCTCCGTGGGGTCAAGAAAGAGGGAAGGGGAGGATGCCCAGGGCTGCCAGACGCTGCTCTTCTTTCGGTGAGCGGAGCCCAGTCCCAGAGGAGGAATGGCTTCCAGTTCCTGGCCAGAGCCAGGAAGTCAGGCCCCTGCGGACAGCACGGAGGGCGCCTCGTGATGGCTGCAGCTGACCTGCTCCCTGGTGCCCTGACCGAGGCCCGGCAGCCCTATGGGATTCCCTGCTCAGGGGGCTCCGTTGCTTTTCTTATCCCCCGAGGAAAGAGGCTTCCGCTCCATCTCCAGCACAGAGACTGGAATCCCCAAACACCCAGAGGTCCCGTCACGATGACCAGGGAGCAACCACCAAACGCCTCAACGGGAGAAAGCCCGGCCACTCTTCAGGCCCACCTCTTGCAGCGTCTCTACCACCGACTCCAACCGCATCCGCTTGGCCAGCTCCTCCTCCCACCTGAAAGAGAAGTGAGCAAGATTAGAAAGAGGGGAAGGCAGAGCATTTCATGCTTCCTTCACAGGGCCTGAACTGTGAAGTTTTTCAGCCCACAAACATTTGAATCGATCAAGTTTTATTTAGGGTTTCCTGGGTGGGTTTCCTTCCTTCTCTCACGCAAAAACCAAGCTTATCCTTTTGGGGGTGGGGGTGAGGAGCTCGACCCCAATTCTGAAATGTGCTCAAAGGGGCTGGCTTTCCTTCGCGGCCATGGGTAGGAATACTCAGCAGAATCCAGAATTTCGCTTTCAAGTCAAAATCAAAATACCAAACTGAGTTTGCTAGAAAGCCTGTCAACACCGCTTTCGTTACATCAAACCACACAACCCCCAAAATGTGTCAAGGGGATTTCAACTCCCTTCTTAGTTTTAAACGGAAGTCTGCCGCTGCCTGGAACCGTAGCTGGCCGAGACGCCTGCAGGAAGTCTCCTGCCGTGGACTTCCTCAGCCAGGTCTCTGCCGCGTGTGGCCTCGAAGCCTCCAAAAGTTCCAGGTCAGGTTGGCAGAGACGTTTTGCTCCTCTGACCCCGCGCGTTCGGAACCCAGTTCTGTGCCAAGGGGACCATTTCAGAAGGGAAGAACAACAGTGGCGGCTGTGTCATTATGTGCACCCCAAACCCTTCACAGACTGCCTCCGAATGTGCTGGTGGGGCTCCCCCCCCAACACCATTGCGAAACAAGACGGCCAGGTCCATTTTTACATCTCTTCTCTCTTTCCTCCCATCCCTAATAAGCAACTGCTCGCTTGAGCAGAAAGTGGTCCAGCAGAAGTATTTCTAGCCTTGCTTTTCACCACCGGCTGTTTATAGGCCGACTAAAATACTGACCCTGGAATTTGTTTTTAGCCTGAGCGATCTGAGACTTCAACTCCAGTGACCCAGCGCATGCGTTGCTGGACACGCAGCCGTGAGGCCTTTTCCAATCTTCTCCTGCCTTTCGATCAGGAGGAAACAGCTCAGGAACCGAACGGCCTCCAGCCACTTGGGCGGAAAGCGTGCCCCTACGGCTAATGCCCGAGCCCAGTGACCCAAGGGGCAAAGACACCCTCCCCAGCCCTTGGTCCTTCTGACCAAGGGGGGAATCAGCCGGCAGGATGCTTGCTGACCCCCATCACGAGGTCCCAGCCCAGTTAACTGGCTTTCCAAGGAAAGAGGTTCCAATAATACCAGTTCCCCTTACTTAGGGAAGACGGAGGCATAAAGGGGGTGGGCGCTTTACCACCTGAAAGCTCCCTGCCCTCGCTGGTATTGATGGCGAGGCCGTCTTATTTATATCCTCTTGACAGAGAACGGCTCGCTTTGAACAAGAGCCAAACGCTGCATTTTGCTAATGGGAAGTCAGGGTGCCCCATCCGTTATGAAAATAAACAAAAAGGGAACGTATCTCTGGCTTCGACTGCTTCTCCCATGACGCTGGATTCCACACGGGGTCCCACGTGAGTTTCCCAAGCGCGCTTCTGCAAACGGCAGGCCTGCTGAGCCCCCCCCGAATTGGGGGGCCCCGGATCCTGACACCCCACAGCCCGAGGAAGCGCAGTGCGTGACGCGGAGGGGGGCCAGGGAAGTCGGGGCTCCCAGCTCCCCCTTCTCCAAGCGCCACAAGGACCGGGGATGCTGGGCCTGGAGGCGATCCAAGCGCCCTGCTCTCAAGGTGCCCGAGAGATGCTGAACCAGCAGCCCTCCCCGCAGACGTCTCCTTCTCCCGAAGCCAAGAAAACGCCCGCCTGATCCATTAGCTTCTCCTCGGGGGCAGGCTCAGGGAGGCCGCTGCGTTTTAATTTTTCCTCCCGCAGGCCGGGGCGGGGGAGAGGCTCCCCTTCCTCCACCGGGCACCCCCACCGCCCGCTCGCGTTGCGGGCGGAAGCTGTTCCGGCTGGACTCAGCTCAGACGTCAGCCCCCCCCGCCCCCAAGCCCGGCTGCAGCCGGCAGGATGTGCGAGGCCAGAGCGGGCCAAGAAGAATAAACGGTCTGCAAGAAGGCCGTTAGCGGATGAGTCACCGCTACTGGGGCTACTGGGATCCTGTTTAAAAAAGGCCCGACTCCAAAATATTTTAACCCCAGTCTGACCCACGCCCTCCTCCTGTGCCCCAGGCAGCCGTGGAAGAGTGCCTGGCTGCTACCGACGTTCCCACGTTCGCTTCTGCAGCTCCTGGGAATCGCTGGGCCAGGCAAGGTCAGCCAGCCAGCCCTTCGCCCGGAGGGCCCGGCCACCGCAGCCTCGCCCTCCTTCCGGCACCAGAAGCTGCCTCTGCGTGGCTGGGCGAGGGAGAATCCGGACGTGGCCCAAAAGATCCACCAAACGACACAGGAGGGGAACCGGTCAGGCCGACAGAGCCCTCCTGGCGCAGGGGCAAGCCGGTGCTTGAAATGCATCCTTTTCAGGCCACAACAGGGTTTCCTTCTGTGTCGGCTACGGGGCTCTTTAAGCTTAACTCTTGCATCATTAGGCCATCTCGGGGGGGGGGAACCTGCCTGCTTACCCCACCCCAAAGCTCGCCACAGCCTGCCTTGGCTTTGTGAGTCCCCGAAAGGGAGGCCAGGTGCCCACACCCCACCTTCCCCCAAACTGGAAGGGAGAACCACACTGCTACGCTTCTCAAGAGAAAGGCTGGACGGGAACTGGGTACCGTTGCTTGGGGAGCTGGGGGGGTGCCAAAAAGAGGGAGGGGCTCTTTTGCAACAGCATTGGGCCACCAAGGTACCTGGCACCCCTCCCTTGGCAAACTCTCCTTCCTGGACCAAGTGATTCCCGAAGACGCCTCCGCTGCCAAAGAAGGCCCACCGGATGCTTGGAGGGACGCCCGTCCGGGCCCCTGCCTCTCCCCTGAAAGCCCCCAGCAGGAGCTCCCCCACCATGGGGCTAGCCGGTTCAAGCTTTGGAGGGCGAGAAGCAAACGGGAAAGAGGAAGTGGGCATTAGGCATCACAGCCGGCTTGAGCGTCACACCCAGACTTGCTCACGGCTTCAAAGGGAGGCCGCAGCCCTCTGCTGTCACGAGCCCCACCAGCGAAGAGGGCAGCAGGAGGAACTCGGAGCCCGGGGTGGCAGCACAGCTAATTGCAGCAGGGCGGTGGCCCCGCTTCAGCCACGGACCGGAGACACGTGCTGCCACCGCCTGCCCACGGCAAGGGGCCAATGCGTCTTTCGGAGGCCCATGCTTTCCCAAGACCTGGCGGGCGCATCCCAAAGAACCGGATGCCCCACGTGCTCCAACCCGGCGCTGACTTTTTCCCGATTCCTCGTGGCAGCCCCACGCATGGCACCCCGCACCTCATGGATGCCCCCATCCCAGCTCTACCATCCCCTGTGGCTTTTCAGTTTAGGGAACATTCCGTTTTTTGTGTGTGGGGGGGGTTAGTCTGCTGACCCCCACCCTGGAGAAACTGCATTCTGGAAGGCAGCACATGAACATAAAAAAATAAAACAAGCCCATTTTAAACACCTCAAATAACTCCAACTCTAATCCTAAAACCAAAACGGTGCATCGCGCCAGCCAATTAACCAACCGCTTGTCCTTCAGTTACAGAATCCAGGAACGGCTGGGAAAATCAAGCTTGGAGGCCCCTCCCCAACTCTTTGCCCGCCCTAAGGGGGGCAGCGACAGGCGTCAAGGAAACGGTAGGGAAGGGGGGCACAACCATCACGTAAACAGCCCAGTGCCGGCCAGGCGCTGCAGAAAATAACTAGGGTGGGATACCCGCGAGGAGCCTTCGAGCTCTAAAACTCCACCCCAGGGAGAGAAAATGAAAAAAAAACCCTCGGAGGCTGGGACGACAGTATTTGGTTTCAGCAGCGGCCAACAACGTTGAACCGCAGGGGGACCTCCCTCCGCTGACCCCGGGAAGGCTGCCGATCAAAGACGGAGGTCACTCAGCAGACGACCAGCGTTTAAAGCAAAAGACCCACGTTTTTCCAGCCAGAAAAACGGCTTTAGATCCTTTTGGGAGGGGCCGGGAGAGGAGGAAAGGCAGTGCGAGGTGACACGGCGCTTCCCTAAATTGGCGGCGGCCTCCGAACCATCCTTAGGCAAGCAGGAAAAAAACCACCACCACCCTCTGAATTGTCGAAGATGCAAAAACAGGCTGCTCTACCCCATCTGCGCCAACCGAAAGGGCACGAGGCTGCTGGGCAGGTGTGCGAATCCACTCTTAAGTCGTAGAGGAGGAAGGGAGATAAACGTACAGCGATAACGGAGGACTGTGCCCGGAGTGGGCCAAAGCCCTTCTCCCCGGCTCTGCTGGCGTTTGCAAGGCAGCTGCTTGAGGAAGAGTCGGCTTTCCAAAACGCTGCGCGGCTTGAGAAAACCGAGGAACTGTTGCGCTGCAGGCTCGGCTCTCTGACTGCGTGTGCGTGTGCACGTGTGTGTGACCCACGCAAGCTGGCAGAAGAACTTGCTAGTTTCCCCACAATTCTGTTGAGGTTAAGTCTCTTCCAGTTGAGTTTACAGACCAGACACTTCAGTCCCGCTGAGCCCTGGGCTCCGATTAAAACGGAAAATTAAACAGTTCCTGAAGAGCTCCATGCAAAATGCTTTAATCTTAATGGGAACAGCCGATCTATTAAACCCTGGCTCATGCGCAGCGCCCTCCCAAGCGAAGAAGCGGTCCGGAGCTTGCCCAGAGAAACCGTCCAAACGGCGCTCCGGGGTTTCTGGCCGGGGCCTTTCCCGGCCCTCCCCGGGAGCGAAGCGGGGGCCGATTCCCTGCGAGGGCGCCTCTTCTTCCTCGGTTCTGGAGAGGGGAGAGGGGAGGGAAAAGGGCTGCGCTCACACGCACACGGGTGCCCCAGCCTCCGTCCCTCGGGGTTTGTGATGGCAACCAGCCAACGTGGGCACTCCTTCCTCAGCCTTCGGGAGAGAAGCCACGGCTTCTTTGGGTAGCAAACCCCGGCTAAGGCCTGGGGGGTCCTTTGTTTCTAGTCCAGCAACGTTAGCCACGCAATGGCGTCACCGGGCTGGGGGGGGAGCGCCTCCCGTTCTGTTTTGCGGGTGGCTGATCTGCTCTCACCAGTTGCCTCCGACATGGAAACGCACACGCTTTCCCCCCCGAAGGGGGATGTGACCCAGAGACCTCAGGGCTGTGGAATGTGTGGGTCAGGACCCCAGCGACTCCTGGGAGGGGAGCAGTGAGAAGCCTTGCAAGCCCCAGGAGGCGGGGTGGGGGTGCCTCGGCCCCAGACGCAATGGCCCCAGACACCTCCATGCAGGGAACGTGCAGGGCGCACATCTTAGCTGCGCACCCCACGGTTCGGCCTTAGATCTGAGCGGGGCACAGCCCACCGG